TATGTGAAATGACAAACATGACTTTTGAAAATCATTATTTTTAATTGATATTTTTTTTTATTTTAAGAGTATTTTTGTATTTTAAAACATATATCATTTGTCATTTCTTACTTTATCTTTTTTCTTTCTTCCTTTTCTTTTATATCAGACAATGTAAAATTTCATCTATTTTATCACTTATTTCTTTTTTTTTTATTTCTCTTTATAACCTTTGTTCTTCAACCGATCAAAGTTTAAAGGTGGGGTGGTGCTGGCTACCTCACAACCATTGTTTCTTCCAAGTTAGATAATATATATCTACAATTATTAAGTATCAAATCAAAGAACCAATTCATTAGTTATTCAACTTCTTGGGTGGAGATATAGAGTGAAAATGGGTTACCTTTAAGTAAGACACATACCTTATTTTGTTAACAATTAAATAAGTCAAACATAGACCATTAGATGTTATAACATATAGGTGCAACATATTTAATAGAAATTTTCAATACATATTAATACTCATGCAGCACCTGCAGCTTTAAGAAGAGTGGGTTACTGGGTTTTGTTATTGTCCACTTATTTGATTATTCACATAAGTGGACATTTGAACTCGCTGTTCGATAAAATTGGTCTAATATACGATCCAATACAATTCTTGAGCCCATTTTGTATTCCTTATAAGGCCCATCAACAAATATTCTATATACGACGACGTAATGACGGACAAATACGAATTTTGGATCTGTGTTCGCGTCCTATAAAAATACGCGCAAACGGTGCAAAACCACCTTCATCTCTCTTCTCTTCGTTCTTTTGGGAAGAGATTTTCATTCACAATTCCATTTTTTCTACAAGGCAAGCGTTTCTCTCTATTTTCTCTTTCGTTTTTCCATCTCTTTTCTTACGTTTGGATATCTTCATTATTCTAATTTTGAAATTCCTCTCTTATCGATCTATGTAACTTTTTTTTTATTCTGATGCCTTTTTGCATGTTTTTTCTCTCATTTCTCTCATTTCTCTTATAGATCGTGTAATTTTTATATTCTTTTTTGTATTTCATTTGGTTTAGCCTCACAAACTCGCAATTTATCTGATCTTAATTCTAATATCCGATTTGGTTGTGTTATTGTTCGATCTGCATCGCGTGCCGTGAGATCACACGATTTGAATAGTTTGTTATTAATATTTCTATGTCAGATTGAAATCGCTCTTTCTCTATAATGAATAATTTAATTTTTTGTTTCGATTGGATTTGATGCCATTTGAAATTGGATAATATAGGGCAATGTTGTGTGACAATGGTTGTTTGTGTATTTTTCAGAAAGAAAAAGAATAGTTGAAAATGGGGCTATCTTTCACAAAGCTATTCAGCCGGTTATTTGCGAAGAAAGAGATGCGTATACTTATGGTGGGTCTCGATGCGGCTGGTAAGACCACCATTCTGTACAAGCTCAAGCTTGGAGAGATTGTCACCACCATTCCCACCATTGGTAAGCTTTATTATATCAATTCATGTAGCGTTCTAGTTTCTCGAAGTCACAATTGGCTTGCAATATGGACATGTGAAATGAAACGTAAAATAGAGTTTGCATTTTTTTTGCCAATTCAAATGAAGGTAGGGTTAATAAGGACATGATCGATTCATTTATTTCTTTACAAGTATTAACTAATCAAATGAATCATGCATCACTTCAAATCTCCTTCAATCTTATTTGACCCATTCAAACAAGCTATCATATCTTTATAGAGCATCACGGCATCCTTCGATCAATGTAGCCGACCCCACCCAGTGGGATAATGGATTGGATGTTGTTGTTTTAGCCTCGGCGCAACATCTTGCGGGGTAAGCCTGCATACATCTACCATCCCTAGGCCTCAGTAGGTGAAGCCTCATACACTGGGTCGCCCTTTTTACAGAGGAAAAAGTTTATTTTATCTATAGTTCTTTGTGATGTCTTTTAAGATTGGTAAATGGTCAATATGTTTTTGCCTAAATATATGGTGTCACCCATATTATTATAGTCGTGATAGTGGATTTTGTCATCCTTGGCCATTCTTGTAGTAATGTAACTTGAACGATTTCTACTAATATATCACTTGGTGCAGGGTTTAATGTGGAAACTGTTGAATACAAGAACATCAGCTTTACTGTCTGGGATGTCGGGGGTCAGGACAAGGTAATTTTCCCATACATCTCCTATGTTTGGGTCTATCTTCTGACATTGGAATACTTAGGGTGGATTAGCAAACTGACTGCAAAGCTCTTTTCTAATTTCATAAAATTGTCATTGGCTGAAACTCGACCGGAACAACTATCTCTATCCTTTCCTAATTCCAGTTGTGATACGTAAATTTCGGTACTGATGTTATTTGGTGCAATCACATAGATGTATTTCTCTCCGGCAGTATATAGATGTTATTTCTAATACATATGTTGTTTGGAGGTCCATGTGATGAATTGTGCAATGATGTTTTTTGCAAGTGGCAGTGTTTATGGTGACGCAGTGATGGTTATCATAAACCAAATAGCAATAGCTTTTACTACTGTCTGTTTTATGTCTGTTTCTTGAATTCGATGCTGTCTTTGAATTATTTTAAACAGCATTTTTTTAAGTTAGTGACCTCTTATATGTTTTCCCTGTAGATCCGTCCTTTGTGGAGACATTACTTCCAAAACACACAAGGACTTATTTTTGTGGTTGACAGTAACGACAGGGACCGTGCTGTTGAAGCTAGAGATGAACTGCATAGGATGTTGAATGAGGTAATAAAGTAGTTCCCGAATGAGTGAATATGACATGCTTGTTTCAGATTATTGGATTTCCCAACTTAATTCTGTGATCTTTTTGGGTCCTTATAATCTAACCTTGGCAGGATGAGTTGAGAGATGCTGTTCTCCTAGTTTTCGCAAACAAGCAAGATCTTCCAAATGCTATGAATGCTGCTGAGATAACTGATAAGCTTGGTCTTCATTCTCTTCGTCAGCGTCACTGGTAACTCTCAACATTCTGTTCCTCTCCTTACTTATCTCCCTACAGTACTCTCCATTTATTCACCTATATGCTCTATACATGTAGGTATATCCAGAGCACTTGTGCCACATCTGGTGAAGGGCTTTATGAAGGACTGGACTGGCTCTCAAACAACATTGCAAACAAGGTTAGTATACAATTATTTGGAAAGTGGGCAACTTAAATTACCTGCCAGTTTTAACCATGCAATTTATGTTTTTTTCTGTGATTGCAGAGCTAGAGATTTACAGACATGGGTGCAAGAAATTGAGTTTACTGTAGCCACTACCATCTCCTGTTATTTTGGCCCTGCATAGATTTTCATTTCTAGAGCATGTATTATTTGTCTTGGGAAAAAAAGAACAGCTATTTTTTTTTACCAGTCTGAAGAATAATTTGAATTTTTTATTGTATAACCAAAATAGCATTATTTACCATTACCCATTGATTTGTGAAATTGATTTACTTATGCTGTATGTTTAACTATAATACTATTTGGAGCAATGTATTCATCACAGTACCTCACTGGCCCTTTGTTAGTTTGCCCCAGCTGAATATGAAAACATAAAATAATGGAAGGACATTCTGAAGTTTTTACATTATTTCTATTCTTATTATTATTAATAATAAACGCAGACGTCAAACTTGCAAATGAGTCATTTAGCCGTTGAGATGTTAATAGAGGGGGGAATGTTTGAAAATCCTCTCATTGTATTTTGTGACTCTGAAGTTTTCTCCTTTTTTCCTCATAAGCATAGATCTCTTTCCAAGTTAATTTGTTGAGGGAAAGTAAAAGGAAAGTTTCACGGTTTCAACATCTTTTCAAATTCCTTCCTCTCCAAGAATCACTATTAGGACCTCTATTGATGATGTCAAAATTTTGTCTATTGAGTATAGTCCACTTAAAATCTGAGGGTCATTAAAAAATTTAGCAGCTACATGTCCAGAGATGGGTTCTGAGTTACCACGCACAGGGTAAGCAAAAAGGAAATTGCCTTGTATTCCAAAGCCATAGGGGAAGCAGCACAAATAAATGCAAGTTAGAACATTTGCAAGGCTACTAAGTTGTGGAGCAAAAATATGTGTCTTCAAAAAACCATATTTCTGTGTCTAGTTATTGTTTTTATAAAAAATGTTAGTTTTTATTTATGTGACTTCTATTTTTAGTCAAATGACAGATTTTAATTGAACTGGAATATAAATGGGGACCAGAAGACACATGATCACCATGCACCTAGTATTATCTCTGCAAATATTTTCCCTACCAGGGAAGGTGGAAGGTATTAACTATGTGTCTATGTGTAGTGCATCTCAAATATTATTTATAAGATGAGAGATCCATTGACTCTACATCTTAATCATCGATTTCAATGGAAATCCAATGGTTTAATACATTGACTCTACATCTTAACCATTGGATTTCCCTAGAATTGATGGTTAAGATATGTAATAAGTGAATCCTCACCCTATTTATAATCAAGTTAGTGCATGGTAGGTTTAGGTGGTAGATGTGTGTTTTCACTACCTTAGTTCGAAACTTGGGTTTGGAGAAAACACACTACCTTAGTTCAAAACTTGGGCTTGAAGAAACCTCTTTTAAAAAGTTAATCCCATCACACTTTAAATGTTTTCGACTTCACCTCATGTGAAAGATATATGACCAAAATTGAAACAATTATAAGTTATCTTAATGAATCTTCTTTCATTTATGGGCTCAATTAACTTTCCATAGATTATTTGCAAAACTTATTTTTCAACTTGAATCGTGACCATGCTAGGACTCATTATTTAACTAAAACAATTACATAAAGAAATTTGTTTTCTTGTTACATTTTTTTTACAGCCATGGAACATGACAAGTTTATAATTACAATAATTGAGTTATATATTTTAATATTTATGCTTGTAGATTTATTATTATAGTACATAAACTATGTTAGTACTATTAGATCGCGTTTATAACGGATAAGTTATTCATATCACACATAAGATTAGACTCACACACTTAGCGGATCAAAAACTAGGAAGGTTAATTCAGTCTTTTCAAAATTGAAAGCTGGGCCGCTATTCTCTCGCACCGGATCCACGGAAACCCTAATTCATTTTTCCTATAAATTAATAACTCGTGCTTAGTCTAAAAGCGCCGTTCCTGGGTAATCCTCTTCTCTTCCCATAGCTTTTCGATTCTTTTTTAGTTTTGATTTCAATTTCGTTTTGTTGTTATTTCAATTTTATTTGTTAATTTTGTTTGCGTTATGAATGAGAAAGAGATGACAGTGATGACCACATAATATTCAAGCTCAACAGACTGGAATGCAGGGTTTTCTCTCATTAGAGATTTCTTTGCGTGTCGACAACCCCGCTGAACTGAGTCATCTCTTTCTTTTTTCACTATTAAAAAATGTTATTAATAATTTTTGAATTTAGTGTGTTTTTATTTGGGGAAAAGAGCGGTTCACGATGAGGATTAAAAGCTCCCTCTTCTGAAATCTTTGAGGAAATCCGCTGGCAGAATCGAACCTTAAAACTTATTGCCACCACTGAGTGATTTATCTCTTTCCCTTTTTTTTGTTATCTTTATCTTATTTTTTTTAATTTACGTTTTTTTGTTATAATTATTTTTTAAATTTGTTTTATCTGAAATTGAATTTCCGAGGTCAGTGATGAGTTTAAGATTTTGCCTACATTGGATGATTATCTGCTTTTAGATATGATCTGTACAAATCAACTGAGGCCTACAAACGTAAAATGTTCTTTTAATTATGGTCAAATATGTTTACAGTTTCTATGAAATAAATTTGGGAATGATATGTATTTACAATTTATTTTATAAATTCCATGCTTTTGCTAAAAATTGTTGAACCTAATGTACCAATTGGTTTGTTTCCATATGGAAAACTGAAAATGGGTTCAAACACTTTTGCGGGATTCATATCAACTCGCAATTGATTTTGGGTTTAATTTTTATTGCTAGCATTTTATGCATATCAATAGCATTTCTGGAACATCTATAATCAAAGCTATACATTTTAGAACCTTGAACATAACCAACGACTCCCTAACCAAGATCCAATTTACTCTTACTATGTTCCTAAAAAATCTGATTCATGGGGATTATTCCCCCACACATAAATCTTGGGGAATTGCATTGTGAAATTGGGTACAAATGGATTTTGGACAGATGCAAATCTTAATCCAACTCCCTTGATTTGATTAATGTAAATTAAAAAATCTGACTCCATATCATCCAAAACATGGAGATGTATTTGTCATGGTTTTGCTTTTTAACAGTAGAATATCAATTTTTTAAAATGTTCTATAAATTTAACAAAACTAAACATATATATTTCAGAATAGGAAGTTTAATTTTTTTCAAAGAATTAACATATAATGAATAATAATAAGATAAATAATATCTATGAAAAGGGTGTGATACTGAAATGTAACATATTGAGAAAACTACAGTGAAAAGTAATTTTATTAATTTAGATAATGTATCCTTTAACAATGGAGTAGTTTTTTATACATTAACCGTAGTATTTATTATTTATTTTTAATAATAATTAATTCTTAAATAATATTAACACAAATAAATGATGAATGATATATTGAATATCTATAAATTTTTATACTAATAGTGTATAGGTATTGCAATATTAGAAAACTGTAAAAAATGTATATTTTTAATCAAACTTAATTAGTTAGAAATGAAATTATCGTTAATTTGAGTATATGTAATTAATATTAATTTTGTGTAATTTTAAAAATAAAAAATGTATACATTATTAGAGATTTCATGCATCATCCATTCACGAACTACAGTAGCAATACTTATCATTTGATTGTGTAGCATTGCAAACATGTTTGTAGTTATATCTCTCACACTGAGTTATATTTTAAATTGAAATTATGACTAAAAACCATTTCTGATCACATTAAGCATGGAATATCCACAATCCCACGAGCTAAAAGATTATATATCCTGATTCTATGTTGTGTTAGCTTAATTTTCTCATTTTCTTTAATACATGCTCGGTCAAATTCATATATGACCTGCCGAAGTGTTAAAAAGTATGTTGGTAGCAATAGTCTAAGTTAAAAATTAAGGAAGGAATCCATATAACCAAAATCCTAAATTATTGACATATGACCAAAATCCTAAATTATTGACATATGACCAAAAGCCGTTAATTAGTAGCAAAATTGCCATTTAGTGACTAAGTGTTTTCATACTTACAACAATGATTTCAAAGTATACCACTTACCTCAATTCTCAACAAAAATAATTTACAATTGAACTAACAACAAAAATAATTGAAAACTGAAGAAGGAAATATTTATTTTTTTATACTGAAATCAAAGTACATTCATGTGGAACTATAAGTCCACAATTTATTACAATAATATAAATATTATTTATTTATTTATTGATTTAACATCCGGGAAAACTATGGGGCAACCATTATCACACATGGATGGTGGTATTGGGGATGGAATAACAGCCTTGGACACAGGGTCCATATAGATTCCAACCTAGATACATATTTTTATTCCTTTTCCTAACGCATTTCAAAAATATATTATGCTTTTCCCCTCCTAAGATCTTGTTGAAAGCTTGTTGAAGTTGGGTGTAAGTGTAAGTGGTAGTTGAATTCGGAACCACAAAGAAAATTATGAATATTAAAAGGACAAAAGCAAATGAAATCAGTCATAAATAAAATTTTCTTACCCTGCAATTTCAGGCTGGATAGAAGATTGAGAATATTAAAATTATTTTTGTATAACTGTAAAGTAAGGGTAAAATAACCCAAAGGATCAGCTATACAAGTTCCATGTTTTTCCCATTCATGTTGCCAAATTATTATGTTTTCGGCATCCAATTTAAGCCAATATTGATTAAGATCAGCAAAAATTGGCCAACTCCTAAATGTATTCAGGTCAGGGGTCACAGTAGAACAAACTTTGGTAAATCTGTTGGTCCATAACCCATGCAAGGTGAAAATATTAGGTTTTTCTTCTAGGCATTTCTTTGACCCTTCACAGAAAGATGTTGGCCATACTATTACAAGAACATCAAAATCTACCGATAAGGTGAAAGAAGATAAGGAGACCAAGGTTACAATTAACAAAATTAATAACTTCATTATGAAGATGGATGACTTAGAGAGAAGGCTTAGAGAGAAGGCTTAGAAAGAAGGGGTGACTTAGAGAGAAAGGTTCAATATTATTTATACACAAGTCACATTACCCATGTCAACCCAATTTCATGCATTCACACACAAAACTTTCTATTCTTCTCATGGTATTAACTAAAAACAACCATTTAAAATATTCATCCAACCATGCATTTATGATTCTATTATTTCTAGCAATACTCATTATTTAAAATTCCTTTAAGAGGAAAGTTAAGTTAAAATGGCAAGTGAATTGGAATACAATCACTGTAAAACCAAGTTAACCCAATTTTGTAAGCCCACTTTCTTTTTTAGCCCCATAACTTATTAAAATATGAGCAGTGACCATAAAACACTAAAACCATCTTATTTTTAGTTATTTTTTTAGTTATTTTTTTGTTGTTATGAAGTTATGTCTTTTTGTTACCATGAATGACCTATGAAATACTTGAATATATATTACTTTATAATTTATATAACATTCCTTCATAATTTATATAATATTATTTCATAATTAAATATTTTTTATTTTTATGATTATCATTAGTATTATGACATGAATATATATATATATATATGATTTTTTATGAATATATATATATGGGTGTGAATTTTTGTGCAAATATATATATATATACATACTAATAAGTAGGATCTTACGAGTCGTATTATGATCTTACGTTTACGATCTTTGACTCTCCTCTCGATCCTAAGTAGAATCTCGATTTTAACTATCTTGCTAAGGAGTTTACATGTCAGTTCCCTTCATCGCACAAGACTGCAAAATCTAAATATAACGTCAAAGAAGAAAGATTTGTTCATAGGTGATACCTTTTAGCACGCTTAGGATCAACCAAAGCGAGTTCAGCAAGCTTGGCAGCTGACAATGATTTTTGGCATCAGCTCCAGAGATGTCTTCAGAACCTGAGACCAGCATCTCTGGTTTGATGGTTGTTGGCCCATCCATGATATAGCTTCTGTTTGCAGTGTTTGCACCTTCCTTTCAAGCCCATAAATGTAACGCATCTTCCTTTCTTTTGACCTTGCGGCAGACTGTCTATTTGCCCATATAGAACATGTTTGTTTCTCTCATCTATCACACCACACATTTTGTATTTGTCAAATTAGATAAATGTATTTATTATTTCGTTTATTATATTTTCAACCTCGTCATATTATATATACATATATAATTTCATTTTCAACCATAACTAAAAAGTCCCCTGAAAAAGTTGATATTAACAATTAAATATTACCAACTTAATGTATGTCGCTTTATTAGGCAGATATGGGATAATGGGAACTTGTGATCTTTTCAGTATGATCCACTTAATTACCATATACAATAGTTGTTAGTGATAGACATTGGTCTATTGGTGTAAGACCATCCTAAAAGAGATCAAAAAGTTAAAAATTTGATTTCTGATAATGATATTTGTTAGGAGAATCATCACACACTCCAAAAGAGATTAATTTTTTGACATAGTGAAGAGATACTTTTGGATATACCATAAAAATACATTGTTGTTTCATTCTATTTCAATTGTGATTGGGATGAAAGTGTTTATTCCTTGTGATTGGGATGAAAATGTAAACTGAATGTTATTGTTAAGTTTCATCTCAAAATCATCTTGGACCCTTTTAACATTTGATTTGAGAAAGATGAAAGAGAACTTGGCACTGTCTTTGTTACCATACGAACTTGGGGGTGGTTAATTTAATGATTACTATGCTTATCTCGATGATAGAAGTGACCATGTAGCTTGTGGTTATTTTTATTAATATATATTCCTGCTGGCCAAGTGAAGCAAGATCACATGGTAAGGAAAAGTAAGCAGACTTAAATGTGTTTGAGAAATAAGAATGAAAATTGGTACTACTCGAAGGTGGATCTGATGGTGTGTAATGTTAGAAAAGGCTAAGTAAAAAGAAAATGTTTTAAATGAGATTATTTCCAAGTACCAAATTGTTGTACAATGATTTGGTTGGAAAGGAACTAGAATATCATAACCATAATAGCAAAGGAAGAAAGCAATTGAATGATTTTGAATATTTGGTTTAGAGAATTTATCAAATACCTGGTGAGCGAAAAGAGATAGCAACTATGTAAGTAAAACGTTGGGTTTGAACTTTAACTTTACTTCATTGAAATGGAAGTTGGAAATAATAGAGGCTGAAGTTCAATAATGAAATTCAAATCCAGTAGATTACACAGTCATTGATTCCTGTGAAAGAGTAGCCTAATTGCAAGCAAAACTAACAAATCAATTATGTGGTGAAGAAGGTAGAAAAAGCATTAAGAAAATAAGAGGAACACTGAAATACGAAGAACAAACATAAATTAATAAACCAAATCATGAACATGAGAAGTTAGAACAATGTTTCATTCAACACTAAATGAGGAAATTAGGCACATGGAAGAGACAAACCGTAAGTATAAGAGAGAAGCAAAATAAGTTGAGAAAATGAAGGAGGTAGAGAATTTAGAAATGTTAAAAAACCTTTTGGAGTTACTGAAGGAATGAGGTAAGGGATATAAGATATCCAAAATAGCAGCAACATGAATGAAACCTCCAAATGGCAATAACTATTAACAAGAACAAGTATGATTGAAGTAAAGAAATACAATTAAATTTGGAAAAAA